CCATGGGCTGAGGCCGGCAGGGGAGGTCTCAGAATCTCCCCTGCCGGTCTATGCAGGGCCGGCACTCTCCTAGCGCCGGCCCCGCTGTTTGCCACGACGGGCCAGTGGGGAGATCAAAGATCTCACCGGCCCAAATGCAGCCGCCGGCGGGGAGAGAGGGAGGGAGACAGCCGCCAGGAGAGGAGGACCCGGCGGAGCTCTAACTTGCAGCTCTGTCGGGTTCCTCTTGCGAGATCCGGCGCGTTGCCATGGCAATGGCCGGATCTCGCGAGAGTGAACTCTAGCCTCACAGGCTAAAGTTCACTCACCCACGAGGACCACCAGGGAACACTGCCACCCAGTCCCAGCGTGCCGGTCCCCCCCCTCCTAGGCTAAAGGTAAGAAGGGAGGGGGGTGGGACATAATGCCTGTTTTTTGTTTATTTACCCCCCCCCCACACACACACACACAATAGCATTTATACAGCACTCTCACACCCATCACACTCACACTCACAGCACTCTCTCACAGAGCACTCTCACACCCATCACACACAGCACTCTCACACCCATCACACACAGCACTTTCACACACACAGCACTCTCCCACAGAGCTCTCTCACACAGCACTCTCACACCCATCACACACAGCACTTTCACACACACAGCACTCTCTCACAGCACTCTCTCACAGCACTCTCACACACAGCACTCTCACACCCATCACTCACACACGGCACTCTCACACACATCACACACACACACCGCACTCTCACACACACCACACTCTCACACACACACCGCACCCCTCACACACACACATACTGCACCCCTCACATACACACAGAACCCCCCCAACACACTGCACCACACACATACACAATACTTCCAAATATATATATATATATATATATATATATATATATACACACGCACACACTACACTCTTAAAGGACCACTCTAGGCACCCAGACCACTTCAGCTTAATGAAGTGGTCTGGGTGCCAGGTCCTTCTAGGGTTAACCCATTGTTTTATAAACATAGCGGTTTCAGAGAAACCGCTATGTTTATCAATTGGTTAAGCCTTCCCCCAAAGCCTCTAGCGGCTGTCTCATTGACAGCCGTTAGAGGCGCTTGCGTGCTTTTCACTGTGAAAATCAGTGAGAGCACGCAAACGTCCATAGGAAAGCATTATAAATGCTTTCCTATGCGACCGGCTGAATGCGCGCGCAGCTCTTGCCGCGCGTGTGCATTCAGCCGACGGGGTGGATCGGAGGAGGAGAGCTCCCCGCCCGGCGCTGGAGAAAGGTAAGTTTTAACCCCTTTCCAGAGCCAGACGGGAGGGGGTCCCTGAGGGTGGGGGCACCCTCAGGGCACTATAGTGCCAGGAAAACGAGTGTTTTCCTGGCACTATAGTGGTCCTTTAACATACACACTCTGGATCCCCTATACACACACTAGATTCCTTGTAAGCAAACACATACTACACCCCTAAACACACACACACACACTATAGCCTGTATGCACACACTTGCTATATCCCCAATACACACATTCTCTACAGCCCATAGCCACATATGCATCACATTACACCACAAACACAACACGACTAAAACCGACCTTATTACACAATACCACACCACGACCAGCTCACTCTACACACACGCAATACCACAAGCAGGCTCCAAACACATGCACAATACTCTTTCCTGGCCCTTTTGTCTCCTGGTATCCATTTATAGAGACACCAGAGACAAGTTGCAAGGAAACACAGTGCAAGCATGTTATTAAATTTGCTTGCACTGTGCAGAACAAATACAGGACTTTTTTCTCATGCTAGAGCTCTTCAGTAGAGCTCTGCGCATGGTCTGCCCTGGAAGGGCATTGAACCAACATGCTCACTTTGAGAGGAGGCGTGTTTTTCATTGGTGATGACAAAACACACCTCCTCTGCCCCGCCCCCTTTTTAGTGGGCCGCTGTGTTAAAAAAATGCCCGGGCCGAATTTTTCTCCCAGTCCGGCCCTGGTGCAGTTCAGCAGGAAGAAAACGTATTAATAGTTCCACTATGAGATGCCAAGTTGTTAGCTGAAACACTAGCACATACATTTATTTCTCTTCTAGGTGAAGACTGGGTGACATCTTGTTTTGGAGCAAATTGTAAGGTTACTTTAGAAACAAAGTGTTGTGTTGTGTTACATTGCATTGCAAAGCTAAACAAAAATGACACCATGTATATACAGGCTTGTAATGGAGTATGTCCTAAATATATTCCATTTGTAGCATACTGCAAATTAAAGGTAAAATCATTTTCACTCTCAGTTGAATTTATAAATTACAGAGCATTGATCATTTACAGAAATTTCAAAATATATTAAGACATATAAAAATATTAGGCTTGTGCATGGAGAAAAAAAAATTGGGTTTGTTCAGATTGTTTTGTATGAAAAAAAATTAAATTTTGTGCGGTTTGGGATTTATACATGTGGTGTTTCGATTCAGATTAATTTCATCCATGCAATCATTTTGGGGAAAAACTAATCAGACGAACCGAAATGATATGAAAATTGGACAATCAGCGAACTGTAAAATATATCAATTATGTATATATTTTGCAGCACATTTTCACGCTATTTGAATTAAATACCGAGAAGAAGTAACCAATAGAGGAAATAGGAGGATGAGAGTGTATATTTATATATTTATTTCATGTATAATATATAAATGTAGAGTTACATTTTTAACTGCTACTTTTTCCCCTTTTGTTGGTCACCTTTTACCTAAAGAGACACTCCAGTGAGACTATAGTCACAAT